TGTAGGCCAGTGGACCCAAGTCTGTAAAAAAAACGGGCACAGCTGCCTAGGTCGTAGCACAAGAGTGATATTCCCAACCGGCAAATTTTAAAAAGGTAAGGAAAAGGACTAGATTTTTGCCTCCAAAAGGACAGGGAGAGAGCAACTCAACAGGTGGAGGAGGTTAGTCTGCTACCAGATAGAGAAAGACACTGCTCCCCAATACGGAGGCAATCTGTGAAGTTGCTCTGTCATCTCTTACTAAAAGAAAAGATTGAGTCTGAAATTTCTTATCAGAGTGGTTGTGCCCTAGACGGCAGAAGGCCCGATCTGTTCATAGACACAACAGAACAATAGCTTCTTTTAATAAGCCAAAGTAGATATACACAGAAGCAAGCCCCCCTAACTTGGGAAGAATTTTTCTTTCCGTAAGATGAAGAATAAGCAGATTTTTCTTTCCAGGAATCTTGGAAGGAAGAATCTTGTTTTCATAGAATCTATCTCCTTAGAAACCAGTTTCAAAACCTAAATACAAAGATAAAACTTCGAAGTTTAGATGTTTTCCTAAGACAAGTAGGAATAAATAAGAGGAAATTATGTTTCAGATTTGTAAAGGGCAATTCCATTAAAAAAAAAACCATTACCAAGTCAGAAAAAAACCCTGACCTATCAACAACTCTCACAGCAACTGCGAGACAAAAGTTACACATAAAATGTCTTCAATTATACAAGACATCAATTTCCCCATTGTATTCCAAGATCAGTCTCATTTTTTCTAACCAATGCAGTATTCTTCTAAAAAATACTTAACTGGAAATAGATCAACTGCAAGTGAATTCACAGGTATAAATATTCATTTATTATGATTTTTTTCCTATATGTGACCTACATATTAGAACACATTAGCAGAATAAAGTTAGTACACAGTTCCCCAGTTCCATGTTGTCTAGTCTGTGAAATAGTATTTACTTGCATTTTATTTTTGCATCTTAGTGACCTCTGGTGGATACATTCGAAACAAATTGCTGTTCGCCGATTACCTGAGTAAGAAGGGGTTTTTATTTTTTAAAAAACAGGGAAAACAATTAATTCTTCAAAAAACAACAAATTAAAGGTTTTCAGCATACAGTATGTGAAAGTTTATTTTAACCTGTAAAATGAGGATGAAGCTGCTTTTCTTTCCAGAAGTTTTTCTGCTTCTTCAGGATTTAGTGTTACTATAATTAACAAAGTGTTTAAACAACAACAACAAAAAAAATTAATGGTGCAGACTCAACCTCAGAGATAGAGGAACTATCCTTAAATACATGTATAACTGGGTAAAAGACAGTAGGCGTGTTTAGTTTAGCCTGGATAAATGCCAGGTGCCCAAACTGCTCTGTCACTCCCCATTCTCAACTGGACAGGGGAGAGGAAATATGATGAAAGGCTTGAGGGTCGATACAAGGACAGGGGGAGATCACTCACCAGTTACTGTCATGGGCAAAACAGATTGAACTTGAGGAGAAAAAAAATTTTAATTATCACCTATCAAATCAGAGTAGGATAGTGAGAAATAAAACTAAACCTTAAGACACCTTCCCCCCCAACCCTCCCTTCTTCCTGGGCTTAACTTCACTCCCATTTCTCTACCTCCTTCTCCCCAAAGCAGCACAGGGGGACAGGGAATGGGGGTTATGGTCAGTTCATCACACATTGTCTCTGCTGCTACTTCCTCCTCAGGGGGAGAACTCCTCACACTCTGCCCCTGCTCCAGCGTGAGGTCCCTCTCACAGGAGACAGTTATCCACGAACTTCCCCAACGCAAGTCCTTCTCATGGGTTGCAGCTCTTCACGAACTGCCCCAGTATGGGTCCTTCCCAGGGGGTGCAGTCCTTCAGGAACAGGCCCCCATGGTGTCAGGATTCCTACCAGCAAACCTGCTCCAGCGTGGGCTCCTCTCTCTCCACAGGTCCTAGCAAGACCTTGCTCAAGCATGGGCTTCCCACAGGATCACAGCCTCCTCCAGGCATATGTCTGCTCTGGCATGGGATCCTCCACAGGCTGCAGGTGGAGATCTGCTCCACTGTGGACCTCTATGGACTACAGGGGGACAACCTGCCTCACCATGGTCTTCATCACAGGCTGCAGGGGAAAAAAATCTCTGCTCTGGCATCTGGAACACCTCCTCCCCCTCCTTCTTCACTGACCTTGGTGT